GGGCAAGTTGGTGAGACCTCATCTCTACAATAAATCAAAAATTAGCCGGGCATGGTAGCATGCGCCTGTAGTTCCGGCTACTCAGAAGCTGAGGCGGGAAGGCTCGCCAGAGCCCAGCAGGTCGAGGCTGCGGTGACCGGGAGCGACCATTGCACTTCAGTCTGGGTGACAGAGTGAGACTCCAACTCAAAAAAATAAAATAAAATAAAATAAATATATATATGTATATATATATATTGAGTATCGGCTGGGCACGGTGGCTCACACCTCTAATCCCAGCACTTTGGGAGGTGGAGGCAAGAGGACTGCATGAGCCCAGGGGTTCAAGCCAGCCTGGGGACCTTGACAAGACCTCATCTCTACAATAAATAAAAAAATTAGCCAGGTGTGGTGGCACATACCTGTAGTTCCAGCTATTTGGGAGGCTGAGGCAGAAGGATCACCTGAGGCGAGTAGGCTGAGGCTGCAGTGGCCGTGAGCATGAGCCTGCCACTCCACTCCAGCCTAGACAACTGAGTAAGATTCCTACTCAAAAACAAAACAAAAACAAATAAATATATATTGAGTGCCAAAAGGAAATTACTTAACTCTTTCAGCCTTGGTTTCCTTGTCTGTAAAATGGAGATAATAAGAGTTATTATGCCTGGCTCATGACAGGCATTTATTTATTTATTTATTTATTTATTTATTTATTGTAGAGATGAGGTCTTGCCAAGGTGCCCAGGCTAGTCTCGAACCCATGGACTCAGGCAGTCCTCTCACCTCAGCCTCCCGAAGTGCTGGAATTATAAGCACAAGCCACCGCACCTATCATTTTAAACAATAAAATAGAGACACAGTCTCGCTATATTGTCTAGGCTGGTCTTGAACTCCTGGCCTCAAGCAGTCCTCTTGCCTCCACCTCCCAAAGTGTTGGGATTTATAGCCATCAGCCACTGCTCCCAGTTGATTTTTCTTTTTCTTTTTTTTTTTTTGGAATTGGAGTCTCACTCTGTCACCCAGGCTGGGGAGTGCAGTGGCATGCTCATGGCCACCGCAGCCTCAACCTGCTGGGTTCAGGGGAGCCTTCAGCCTCAGTCTTCCAAGTAGCCAGAACTACAGGCATGCGCTACCACA